CATTTTGTTAACAATGTGTTTTGACAAAACACCATTGAAGTATCATTTCGGCGCCACTCACACGGCGATGTCTACATTGTTCCCTGTATTCTCGTCTGCAGTTATATCCATTTATATAATCGTACTCAGGAACAAAAAAGTGCTCCAATAAACAGGACCTATTTAATGGTTACTAGCATGTTTCGGGTGGCCATAGCGCACACACTTACGTTCATCTACAATCTGGTCTTCAGTCAATTCGTGCTGATAAATCGACAATTAGAAAAAAATAGAATACTGCAGACGCATATGCTGAGTTAAATTATGTTCGTAACGAGCCTAGGCTTGAGCTTCACCCTTATCAGGGCAGAAGCGCTCTAATCGTGGGCTCTACTTCGTTTATGAGGGTACAGTCTGCTCTTCCACACTCAAACTGGATTATATTTGGCAGAAACATAAATTTACAAAATATAACATTATTTTATGTGGCTTTGAGCCGTTTTCCTTATCATGACTAAGACTGTCCTCACCCAATTTTTTGACAAACGGACATTATTTTCTAGATATAGTTCATTATAGCTGTTATCAGCCAAAGTCTTTTACATTGAACCCCCTGTTCGGAAAACAACACAGCCTTTTCTAAATATAAGTTTCGTCCAAATATTAAGTAGCTCAACATTATTGGAGTTATTATTTGTTACCGAAATTGTAAAACATAGACCAGTTCATAAGACATAGATCAATTCATGAGTAGACATACTTTAAAGTTAAACTTAACAACATAGTTGAAAATTGTTTGTTTGCAGTATTGAAATATATTTATCTCAAAGACGAATCTGTATAAATATAGACTTTTGGCTGCTTATAATTAAGTTGTAAGTGGGAGAAGTTTGGATTGCACAATTTAAAGTATCGGGAGGTTCGGTATTTCAACTAATTAAGATCAGATTTTTATATCAGCACGCGTTCGTCCACTGACCGATGGGTTCGTTGGGGAGTTTTCTTAGCTTGTCGATGGGTGGACGGGTGTACGCATTAGCCAGGTCTCTCAGTGAGAAAACTAACGAGGTAGGGGTTGCTGTTGTTGCGATCCTATAAGCGTTGTGTAAACACATTTCTTTGATGGTTTTGTTAATTATTTCATTAAGCATGATCACGCTTAATTAGCAACTGAAGAATCCGACAATATTCAACCCTATATTATCGCCACGTCGGATATCGCCGCTAGGCATTCCATCCGATGGCCGGCTCGAACGGAGTCTGTCTATACCCGGATGCAAATATAGACTACGACGTGCCCCTAAGATTAGCACGCGAAGACGTTACCTACTATGCTAGCACGGGAGTTGACGGTCCAAGTGGACAGACGTGGCGTATAAGCATTGCATACGCGTGTTGGTAAAGCGGCTCACACAAAAGTCCAACACACTTAGACAGACCCAGAAGTAAAAATTTTAATTAAATATAGTAATAAAGTAAATTTATTATTGACTTCTCGTTCGGTCCTTGTCGCTGGACACGTGTCCTTTCCACCGCATGTGCATTTACGTTAGCAATCGCTGCCACAGCCCGGCTCTGACGGGACGTCGTTCGGTTAACGGACGCCCTCAAAAAGAGTAAATCAAAAATGGCGACTGATGAAGCAATACAATAGCTAACGGACCATCGCGCGGAGCGAGACTGCCAAATTTTCCACATCGTATGACCGAGTTATATGAGGCAAATGGGTCATGTGCTGTCAGCATCTTCGCGCAATAGTTTTAAACTGATTTAGATGGCAAAAGGTAAACGAATGCTGATCTATAAACGTAATTTGTAGACACACTTTCGGCCCTACTGTTGATTCTTTAAAAAGCTATTGTTGATTTGTGTCAGTCAAGCTTTTGCCCCGTCCTGTGCGACCTCGCTAGCCTCCCCGTTGCTTTTTGATGTCCTATCTAAGCCTTAATGTTTACACTTTTGTACGTTGCAGTACAGTACGATTCCAGCATTATAGCTGTTTTTTTTTTCATATGGTTCCACATGGAGAAGTTGCTTAGCTAAAAACTAACCTTCCTACACTTGCTTATTGTATAACTCCATAGGATCTACTCGACACTGAGCATATTCAAATTAATTTCAATATTTTAATCACGGCTACTAGTAACACGTCAACACACGTAACAGCACGTTCAGCATCTAGAACCAATGCGACGTTCCTTTGAATATGTGCAGCTTTTATATGACGACATATTAGAAAAGATAATAACATTCAACAAACACGGTAGGCTATAACTGCGAAATAATTGTCTTAGACGGCTGGGGACGCGGGAGAGATGAATCAGATAGGCCCACACGCAAGAAGTCTTGATGGTGAGTCAGAACAAATTTGCGTGCTCTCAACAGCATCGTTCCGTGCGGGGTGATGTCTGGTTTCAGGAGTATGATGTTAGTTTTTTGCGTGTGAGAGACCATCGAGGACTTCATCGTCATCGGGTGTTGGCCAGAGCCCAGAATTGCTACTCGAAATACAGTAGCAAAAGCAGTAGCCATTGCTGCTAATAGAATTATTCAAGGTTTGTTATGATGTTCATTTGAAACACCGGATATCTGTGAATTAACCTGAGCAGCTGAGAAATCCATCAATAAAAAGCCTCATTAAGTGCATCGATCGTTTTAAGGACTTCGCAGCACTGCCAAGCAGAAATAATGCTACTACTTAACTTTAGAGAGATCTCTGTGTTGGTTGAAGCTATTCCCAACCCAAGCACATTATATCTAATCTATATGAACGCTCTTACTAAAATAAATGATAAGCAAATTGGCAACGAACTTAGTAGGATCGTCATATCGATTGATATGCTTTGTTTTAATTATTTCAACACAACATAATTATACGTTAATAATAATATGAAAGTGGCAGTGTTTTGCCGCCCAACAATTTTTTAAATGTGCACTTAATTTCCAGTTGTTTGGGATTTGGGAAGTGATAGTGGGCTTTATTTAGTGCGTCCAATGCTCGCAGGTAGAAACGAATCTAGAAATCGAATGCTGTTTTATCCTACATATTAGGAGCAACTCCTATTTTTGGGCCTTATTACTGTGCCATCAGTAGCTCCTCAGTTTCAAAAATACTAATTTAATACGACAATTTTTACATTGTCAATATGAATAATTTTGGCTATATTCTTGCTGAAAAATTGATTTTTTCTTATGTCCGCTATTTAATTTGATCATTCTGCAAATCTTCGACAAACATGACCGAGGACGACGGCTAAAGTTGCTGACCTAACTCAAGAAGCAACAAAGGACAAACTCGAACTCCTTGTGCGATCCAAACGATATCCTCCATTATAGTTGCATCGGTTCCTGAAAAGAGTAATCGTCCGTTCAGTACAGCGTAATGTGACATCAAAGACGATTGAAGCTTCGCCGATTAACGTCGAATTGACCGAAAGCGGTTTTGTACACAGTTACTGTATAGCCGCCATGGCGTGCGTACCTGTTCAGCGTTGTCATAGAGGACGCAGGTCTCATTTTCGAGTAACGTCGCGAATATTTTTTCAAGTGCCTTAGCGGGTGTTGGGGTGTCCACTGATTTTGGCGTGCCATAACTCTGCTTGTGGTACGCTGAAGCCCTATTTCATTTTTCAACTACTTGAAAGACCAAGCTGCTTGTTCGGTAGCGCACACAGGAGTGCGTGGTAGAAGAACCGTCACGATAATCACAAAAATAAGAGTTTCTTCTTTAAGGAGGATGTAATGGGCAATAATACGTTCCATCATGCTGCCGTTAGTCGCCTGTATTAGTCAGATAATTTTGTTGATGCCCTCCCCGGTCCTGCTGGTTTTATTTAGTTGTGCGCTATCCATTGATTAGCAGGCAAGATTGCCTACCGCCCCTGCATCGCTGCCTACTGTTTATGTATTCAGTTGGTAACTTCTTTGTCCGTCGCAGCGCTCATCGAAGCTGAACTTGACGTTTTCCACATTTCGCTTAATGACGGCCATGGTGACGGAGCCGGCAAGAGCGTCTGACCCGGCTCATGTTTCTTCGCGTACTTCGTTTGGATTTCTTAAAGGATTCGCCATTGGTATCTGGGTCGAGAATGTGAGTCGAGCGAACGAAGACAGCCCCTTGCGACAACGACAAATTTTCTATGTATGTATAGCACACTGACCAGTCACGCTTGTCATTGAACGTAGTGCCGATTCGACCGAAAGGGGCGAAGCAAAAGACGACTAATAGAACAGGTGGGAAGGATCTTGTAACGCCTCGCTGCTACGGTAACGCGTCTGGCCCTCATACATAGCTTCACTGGCAATTCCAGACAGCTCCTGCTTGTGCAACGTTCAACAGTGCCACTGCTGCCGTCAGCTACCAGAGTACTACAAAAGCAGCAGTAACGGCAGTGGCAGCTGCCGCGCCGACGGAAACGTCAACCCGAAAATGTCCGGGTTGACCGTCGTTCATTTAGTCGCTGGAGCCATCATTGTGTTGCAGCAGCTGCCACCGTACAGCCAGGGCTAGAAGACTGCCGCAGTGGATGCAGATAAAGAAGGCCACCTTGCTAGTTCTGCTGTCATACAGATAAGTAAGTAGCGAAGCAAGGGAACCAGCCTCGTACAGCCATGTGCATGTGTACAGGTTGCAATAGCGGTTGTGCGGTAGACGGTACACAGCACGGTACGGCACGCGGTATTCGTACGCGTTGGCGTCGGCCACACCACTGCACCCGCCGCACCATGAGGCCTGGAGAGACCCAATGAAAACTGTCGACTGGTGAGCTGGGGGGGTTAATTGGGAAGACCTGGGGGTCTTTCTCCAATAGGCCTGCAGGCGTTCCAAAAACGGCCAGCCATTGGCTGTGACGTCATATACTGCGGGCCTTGTTGGCTAAGAGCGGGCGGCGCAGCTGCGGCGCGAGGGCGCGAGGGAGGAGAGAAGCGAGCAGGCCCGCGCGAACAGGCCCAGGGGCCTCTGCGGTGCCGGAGTGCGGACTCGCGGACTGCCGGCCACGCACCCAACGTGTAGCCAGGCCTCGCACAGGCAAGGATCCGCGAGAAGAGCGGCGAGGCAGGCTAGGCCGCACCACAAAGCCCGGGCCAACTAGGCCCATCTGCAGAGTCAGAAGCGGACACCAGGAACGGACTGCAGAGACAAACGAAAGTACGAAGTAGGAGCCGAAAGGACGACGTCGACGCAGCCGACACAGCAGTGGCAGGACGTACGCGACGGCCTGCACTGAAAGCAGGACGACCTGATGGCGTTGTAACTCAGGGACGTGCCTCGGCCGATAAGGAAAAGCGCACAAACCACAAGAGCAAGACCAGGACACCATAGTCACAGCAAGGATTCGGCGCCCAACAGAGAGGATACGAATCACCAACCGTGTCTGACGTAACCGGCAGGGCAGGTGAGTGCTTAGTCTAGACAACCTACTCACTACTATTACTACAACTGCCACGAAAAACAAGGGATACAAAATATCTGTTTGGCTTCCTCTTGTCGTAGGGAGTAGTTCTTCTTCGCGTTGTGTCTGACAAATAAAGTGAGGGTGTATTGTTATTGTAAACAACGTCAAACATATACTGACCGTGACGTCTAGCAGAAAGCTAAAAAGAATGGCGAACAAATAATACGTAATTCAAGGTGAACAATGCGCGATTAAAGTGTGCTGCATGCGTTAGGAGGACGCAACGAATTTTTAAACAGCTAGGTGTACATCTAAAACGAAGAGCGCCTTGAAGTCACCTATTAGTACAGGAGGTCTAATATGTACGAGCAAGGAATGGCCTGGATTGCGAGATATAAATGCCACCTGCGTCCCTTGTTCGTGCCACACAGCCCGATCCAGGCACACGGGTGCGCTTGCTGGACAATTGTGCCTTTTCCGAAGCACTTCGACAAGCCCTAAAGCCAGGTACCGAACCTCGATGAGGCTCTTGCTGCCTATCTGACTTGAGCCCGGATTCTTGCACGGCCCGCAGGCACGAGTTCCGCTGGCAAAGCCAGACCATCGTCAAGAGATGCCTATCTAGCCTTGAAGAGAGTTCTTCGGAAGAACCTCAACAACGTTTCTCTTAGCCGTGGGCGTTGAGGAGACTGCTGGTGGGCTGGGAAAGCCTCAGCTCGAAAAGCGAGCGATAATTGAAGTGCGGCACACGACTGGCCCGTTTGACTGGCAAGCTTAGCGTACCAAGGCCTGCAGCCGAAACTTATGAGAGAAACGAGACGGTTTGGGCTTAAGTCGCTCCCTCTGAGGAAGATCCCTCACAATGCGGCTAGCCAGTTTTAGGTAGGATGCTTTGCTGTAATCCCAATATTAGGATAAGCTGACGAGTATCACGTCAGCACTGTGCGAGAACCCTAAACAGCGTTCGTACGATATACGAAAACCCGTCTAATTAACGTGGATTGGAAATGCTCTCGGAAGTTTTTGCATAGAAACGTTTCTTACTTAAAGCACACAATGCAAATATTCTGTAATAATACAGAATCATTCTGCAATAACCTTTGTTGTGTACAAGGTGAATACTGCATAACAAAACATCTCGTTGAACGTCTTTTAGTATCTTTTGAAGTATCTTTAAGGTCATATTTTCTTACGACACCTTAAGTGTCCTAAAGGTTCAGGATTTTCAACGAGACTACCTGTGATAACTTATTGCACAGAACAAAGGGAGTTTAAGACAGTGCATCAGAGGGTATGAGCACCACCGAAACGGAACAAAAGTAAAAAACCTCTTTAAGTCTGAAGCTTAAAGAAGCATATCCATCTCAGTCATGGAGGCTCGTCTGCGATATAAATATGTGGAACAAATTACACCCAATTTTTTTAACGAAAAATCAATCCATTTAAAGATTGGCCACCCTTATGAAAATATGTCTCCTTTCACTTTTAATGGAGCTTTATTCAGTGTGTAAATAATCAATTAGCTGAAAATGTAGATGCCGTTTATATACGACCCGTCTTGTACATTCTGTCCAGGAACTTTTGTACTTTCAGCACAAAATACTACTGTGATTCCTGTTTGTATATGTCTCTGTGCAAAATCTACTGCACTAAGTTTAGAAGCGACTTAGCCTATGTGGTTAGTTTTTCTGGCGCAACTACTCAGCTTACCTGTTGTTTAAGATAACTCAAGTATATTCGATGGTAAAATATCCAAGGCCGGTATAAATAATAATTTTAACCGATTGCGTGTTATGAATAATATACAATATACACTAGTATATGATGTAGGAAAAGACATTGCTTGAAGACGTACAATATGTCTGTTTATTCCTATCTAGCGGGTTCTTCACTGTACTGAAAAACGGGTAGAAACCGATTTGTCGGTCCTTCCGAGGGTCAGAGATCATTCATTATACAATCATACTGTGCTACTTTCTTATTATCCTGCTGTTCTTCTTGGTCGTTTCTGATCAGAGAAAAGGTAGCCAGTCTCATGTCAGCCCATGTTAGGTGTTTCCCCGACAGGTGGCAAGTTTCCCGACGAAGCGATTTACCGCCAACTAAAATTCGTCTGCTTGCCCCGCTTGGCAACATATAACCACAAACAAGAGACATTGCCGTGCAAAACTCATTGTGCATTTTTCATATATGACTATCCATGCGGATGGTTTTTTCATGTTGTATACACGATGTCTGAGCACGTCGTACCGGAGAGAAAGAGGAAACCCCTACTTTGTCCGTGCTTAGTAGTGAGACGAGATCGCGTGCCGTCGAGTGTTCAAGTTTTAAACCGCAAAGAGATCGCCGCTTTAAATCGCTGTCAAGCTCCTACGCATCACAGATGAATTGCATAAACATGCTCCTGTGAAAAAAATGTCCATTCCCGCAGGAACGACTTGGTAGCGACAGGGCGTTCTATGTAAATTAGCCTGTTTGAATGCTTTCTACCAGTAACCCATATATCTATTCTAAGCATTCAGCTGATCCGAGCTCAAATGACACAAATAAGGCGTTTGCGAAATTTCAGCATACAGTCACGTGACAGAAGCCTGTTATGTAAACATCTCTTTATTAACAGCTATAGGGTACAGCGTGCAAACATGATGGTTACAAACTACTATACCGGAGTCACTTAGTCATTTGCAACCCCATTAAACAATGTATTCCAGTAGCAATTTAGTATAATAATTTTCTCTCTTAATTTAGGAAAACAGTTCAGATCTTCCGCAAACGATCGCATATATAGATACATAATTGTCGAAAATTTACCCGCTCGGAATTTACTTATTTACTAGAAGAAAATCGTTGATTGCCGCTACATTGCTTTGGCCCAGAGGCACTAAAGAAATATATAGGACAATACTTCCTCTTTATAGCTCGAAGGAGACAAGCTTGGCTAATAAGGCCCCCTTATCAATGTGGTGCTGTTTCGGATTGCTTTGAGTCCTGGTTGCGCGTTTCGCATCTTGCTGAGTTCCCGTCGAAGCCCATCATTATAGTAGCTTAGTTGCGTTCAAGGAGAACGTGGGTATGCGGCGTGCACCAAGACAAACGGCGTATGAGGATTGGTTATCAGAGAGCAAGAGAAATTCGCCGCTGTGGGATGGGCAAAAAAGGGAGATGGGGGATAGCTATCGAAGGGCAGCCACCAATGTGGCGGACTAAAATGGCAGCCTCCCACGATGGAAACAACTCTCCAAGAAAGAACATAGTCAAAATCGTCTAACGAGCCATCTTTCATCTGACGAAATAACAAAGCTGGACAGTGTTCTCAACGCCTGAATAGTAAGTGGCTATTAGAATGTATACCAATCAATAAATTAATCTATATTATTAATAATTCGACAGTTTTATGGAAGCTCAAACGCATACTTTACATGTAGACTAGAGGTAATATTTCTTTGACACGTGTGGTGAGACGTTCGGATGCAAGTTCGGACCTTTTAAGTTTGCACCAACTGAGTTGCCATAAGCTTTATGTGGTAGAAGGCATCAACAGAAATAGCCCAGTAGGACATACAGAAATGACGCCCAGCGGACGCAATCCTGGATTGCATGAAACGATGATTAAGCGCTACATTTCCTAGTCGATTTATCCAATAATAACATGGCATAAGCATTATGTTCTTAGTCGCAAACGACCATAAGCTAGGTTTCGTATAAACGTAAAATACGAGCACGGATTGAATGCTGATTACACTCAAAAACAAACCCTAACTTTAAAACAACATAAATACTTTTATGTGCAGCTTTACCAATAGCTAAATTCGTTTTCGTAGAAGTCATTTTTGTTTTTATATATGAACATAATTTATTAACATTCGGTTATTTGCACAGGAAAAGAGTAAGATCGACAGCGGGATGGCAAGACAGATACCAATAGTAGCATATAATGAAGTGCGATTAAACTCGAGCAATCTTCATTCTGCTTCAACCGTTGCTCTCCGTTCTCTATCGGTAAACTCAGTTGCGTTAAACCCAACTGCCTGTACTTAACTCGTTAGTCGAATCCAGTCCACTTTGAAGCTGGTAAGTCTACCTCTAAGTGCCCATTTAGTCTTCCAGACAATTGCGAGCACCGTGCAGGCCTTGGTGAAGTCCTATAGCGACTAGTGATCTGCTTTGCTGAGTTTTGTCGGAGAGGCGCGGTTTAGGGGAACGCGCCAGACGCGCATAAATAGTTGTAGCTAGAGGATTCAGGGGCCACCCAAGGACGCTTGGACAAGCCACTCATTCGTCATTCTATACCTCTCCTTCTGAAAATAACCTCTTTGTTAAAAGTCCTGTGCCGCCCTTACGTTCTTCCACCACTCTTTCATCCAGCCTCGAAACGCAGATGGGTTAATCCATCTTATTTACGCTCAGGTGGTTACAGTTCTTGGCCATTGCGGGGATGACCCTTGGGGAGGTAAGGCATCGAAGGCATTCCGCGCGAAGCTTGCACCTCAGCTTGTCCAACCACAACTATATGATCATGGTCTTGTCAATGGACGGGAAAACATGGCCGTGCGGTAACACCTCGAGGATTCCTGGCCCACTCACGCAGAAGCGACTCGGGATATTATGTTCGCCTATTAGCTGCTCAGCAGGGCGGAGGCGACTACGCACAACTTCTGAACCACATAGTATGACCACAAAACCTCGCCTGAGAACCCTGGTGAAGAAGTTCTCTTCTGCATTTTTGTTGCGTTTACTATACCACCCAGTAACAAAATGAATGAAGACAACTGAAAAAAGAAAAAAATTTTTTTTCGTCAAAAGCTAGTTGTGTACTAAATACTTCGAATGCCGAGCTATGGAGTATTCGCTAGAATAGATGAGAGAAATAAGCGCAACTCAGCAAGCTATCAAAGAGGCAGACTTTTCAGTAGTTTCCACAGTATTAAATGTACGGTACATCAAATTCTTTGATAATATGCCTTGCATGCTTCATTATGGTAGCTAACCGGGAAAACTAA